AGGGGGAGGAGGAGGGTGGCGATAATGGTGAGGAGGAGGAGGGCGGCAGCCTGGGGATGCTCACTGTGCGGTGACCCAGGGCTGGGGCCTCCTCCCGGACCGGAGCCGTAGGCACAGCGGGACCTGTTCTGGGGCGCCGACATCTTCAGGGTGTTATAGTTGTCCTCCTGCTGTCATAGATCAATTAGGCTTACCCCCGCCCTCTTTAGCACACTCTTACTGCCTAGCTTGAGGTTCCTAATAACTGTTTTTCTTTCATTTTTCCAGCCGCAGGAGCCTTCTCCATACCTCACGTTACCATGGCCACCCACTTCTCCAAGGATCAGGAGAGAGTGCGTAGGAAATGGGTTACATGGGATATTATTGTTTGTACAAAGAGGCCTTCCCCTCATTACACAGCCCTGACAGCACGGCACTGGCTGTATCCTGCAGCTGTTGGGAGCGAAGTGGCTGCCAGTGCTGAATTCCATGTGCTTTTTGTGGTGCAGCAGCACAGAGCTCACCTGCCTGCCTGAGCTCCTCGATACCAGTACAGCTGGAGGGGTTTCACTAATCCAGCTGTGCTCTCTGTCACATAATTACCCTTTTAAGCTTTGATTTTGTAAGATTACCTGCTGAGCTGGCAGGTGATGCTCATAAATGATCTTGTTGAGACAGTGTAGTGGGTTTACAATTCTCTGTAGTGGGTTTACAATTCTCTGTATTGAGTTTGTAATTCTGTGAGTGTGGGTTGTAATGCTGTGAATTTGGTTTGTAATTCTGTCTGTGAGGTTTGTAATTCCACATGTGGGGTTTGTAATTCCCTCCCTTGGGTCTGTAGCCCGTGCCAGCTCAAACACTTGTGCCCTGCACAGCAAACTCAAGCCTTGCCCTGTTGCTGCCCAGTCACCAGAGCCCTGTGTGCCCAGGTGTGCTGTCTGAGGAGGTTTTGTTGTCCCTGCTCTGCAGATCAGGTGTGTGAAGGGGGACCTGTTCTCGTGCCCGGGCACAGATGCCCTGGCTCACTGCATCAGCGAGGATTGCCGCATGGGCGCCGGCATCGCCGTGCTCTTCAAGAAGAAGTTTGGAGGCGTCCAGGAGCTCCTGGATCAAAGTGAGTGGTGCCTGAAGGAGCTCCTTGTTCCAGCAGGGAGAGTGTTGGAGTTGCTTGGGGTTATGGAGTGTGGCTGTTTTAAAAACACCTGATTTTTGTGCTTTAGAGAAGAAGACAGGGGAGGTGGCGGTTCTGCAGAGGGACGAGCGGTACATTTACTACCTGGTAAGGGCTGCAGTGGCACTGGGACACCTCCCTGGAGCTAAACTGTGTCACATATCAGGCATTAATAGCTGTGGGGGTTATGTTCACGGAATCAGGGAATCACAGAATGGTTTGGGTGGGAAGGGACCTTAAAGCTCATCCTGAGCAGGGACACCTTCCCCTATCCCATGGTGCTCCAAGCCCCGTCCAGTCTGATCTTGGACACTTCCCGGGATGAGACAGACACAGTTGCTCTGGGCACCCTGTGCCAAGGCTTCACCCTCACAGGGAACAATTCCTTCCAAATACCCCATCAAACCCTGGCCTCGGTAATGTGAAGCCATTCCTGTTGTCCTGTCCCTCCAGGGCCCTTGTAAATCGTCTCTGTCTTGTTGGCTCCCTTTGGGCACTCGGAGGGAGTTTCTGGAATGTTCCTCTCAATAAGAGATGTGTCCTCAAGCATTGCTGGTGAGGAGCAGCCAAGCTGTTCTGTGCATCTGCATTTCACCTTTACATGGACAGAACTGGCTGCTAAACTAGAGTGTTTCAAGGTGTGAAACACTGTGTTAGTGTGAAACTGTCTTAGTTCTTTGCTCAGGTCTTTCCACAGAGGCAAGCCTGGGTGTGGAGTTCTGGGATATCACAGAATGTGTGTTCTGTAGCAGTATTTATAGTAGAGAGAAGTTTGCAGGGGTCATGCCCAAGGCACACTGAGCTTTTCTATTTTGCTGTAGATCACAAAGCAGAAGGTTTCTCACAAGCCCACGTATGAGAGCATGCAGAAGAGTTTGGAAGCCATGAAAGCTCACTGCCTGAACAACGGAGTCACCGACATCTCCATGCCCAGGTGAGGGGCTCAGGACCTGGAATGCCAGATTTAGAAGGATGTCTGAGGGACAGTCCCCTGCTGTAAAATAAGAATTCAAGCATCCACCTCTATCCAACTCTTCTGTTAAGTTGGACAAATCTAATTTGCATTTCCCTGTGCATTTGAGTTGTTTCTTTGTTCTCCCCATGTGGGTTTATGGGGAGCTGAGGCAGGGCCACCTTGGGCACAAGGCCCCACAGACCTTTCGGTGCTTTATCTTGCAGGATTGGATGTGGACTCGATGGCCTGCAGTGGGAAAAGGTGTCAGCAATCCTTGAGGAAGTATTTGAGAACACTGACATCAAGATCACAGTTTACAGCCTGTGAGCAGAACAAAGATCCCCATTTCCCCCATCTTTGGGAGCAGAACCTGTGAACTAAGGGGGGACCTGTGTGGGGAGCACGTTCTGCATTCGGGTGTCACTCACTTGTGCAACAACGACAGGGGCTTCCAGCAGCAACGAGCCCCGGAGAAGTTCATTTGGGCTGTTAATTAGCAGGAGGCCGCGGCGCTGTGGAAAGCCTCGGGGAGCTCCCAGTGTGTCCCTGCAGCCACCAGGTGTCACTGGGGCTCCACGCAGCGAAACGGAGCCGCTGCCTCGTGAGGCCTCGGGGTTTCTGTTTGGGTTGGTGCTGATGAGCTGCCGCAGGCAGCGCTGGCACCTCTGCTTTGTTCTGTTTGCCGTGTCCTGCCTGGCACTCGGGTCACTTCCCTGTTCGCACGGGTGGAACGATTTCATTTCTCCCTTCCGGCCACAAATGGGGTTTGCTGGGGTTGTGCTCACTCAGGATCATGCTGTGGTGTTAAATAAACAGTGCCCTGCTGTTGGGTTGGTACCTGTGGCTGTTCTGGGGACAGGCTGGGATTGCTGGAGGTGAGGAAATACACCTGGTGGCTGTGTTTTATACAGCAGCTCTATAATTTGTAGTGTGCAGAGCTCAGTTTGGTGAGGATCCAAACAGGCTGATGTGCTCTAAAAACTCACAGGATGGAGTTTAAGGTGGGATTTCCCCATTTCTTTGTTTGTTAGATTTGTAGTCCAGGTGTTACACAAAGGTTGGTGTTTGTCACCCAAAACAAAAGCAAATCAGTACCACGCCTTGCTCCTGAGAGCCACAGAAAGCTCCTTATTCTGGAAGAGTTTGTTCCAGAACTGAGGAACTGCCAGAGACATGTCTTTCATGTTTGGTTTCCCACCCTCCCACAGTAACAAATCTTTTGGGCTTCTCTCATTCTGAATGCCCAGGAAAGTGACAGGTGTGTTGAAAAAATATAAAAATGGCATGTAAGAGTTGGGAATTTTGTAGCATGGCAGGGTGCCCAATTTGATTTCCTTGGGAAGGGATTGGGTTGCTCAGTTCTGTGGGGCTTTTTGCTGGTACAAATCCTGTTTGTCTTTAAGATCTCCCTGTCCTTACTCTCCCTGTTCCTTGCCCATGTTTTGTAAACCTGCTTGGTGGAGAATTGCTGTAGCTGGGAAAAACAACTTTGGATAAAGAGGAATTTGGAGCAATGAGCTGATCAAGAACAGGCATTGAGGCTGCTCATTGATTCAGTCCTTCCCCTTATTTGTGTCTGGGTTGTTTTTCTGGTTCCTTACTCATGGCATCCCCATAAGCTTTGTTTTACATGGAAAATGATCCTGCTCTCCAACACTTGTGTGTACTCTGGAAATTCTTTTGGCATTTAGTTCTCCCTTCCCAGCTACAAAATATTCCCTGTGTGGCTGTCCTGGGATGTCCTTGAACTCAGACTTGTCAGGTTCAATTTAGGACTTCTTGCAAGTAGAGAAGAAGGAATAAACAGTGCTTTGGCTTTTGCAGTGGCTTCCCATTTTATTTCACTTTGCTTTTCCCAGGTTTATATCTCAAATATCGTTGTTTGATACCGAGTTCTCGGGCTCTGTCATGATTTGGAAGAGAGCTGTTGGCCCTGAATTAAATCACAGCTCTGACTATTGAGGAGAACAGAGAGAGAAAACTTCTTTTTCACCTTAAACCCCTTTCTTTTCCCCTTTCTAATTCATTTATCTAACCAGCAGCTTTGTTCTAAGGTCTTTTCCCATGAAATATTCCCAGACTGTGATCCCACAGCCTGCCTGTGGATCACTGCCATCCCTTTCACCACAGCTTGGGTTTGTTTGGGGCAGGGAGGGGGAGAAACAAAAAACACCCAAAAAATCCCAAACACCAGAGGTCTGTGTTGTTGTGTGTGTGTTCAGAGTCCCACAGGGCCTTGTCTCCCACAGGCTGGTTCTCCATCCTGCTGGAATCAAAGCTTTGGGAAGCGGGACTGTTCCAGGTGTCCAGGTCTGTCACATCTCTTCATGGATCCTTTCTGATCCTGGGGAAGGAAAAAGAGACATCCTAGAGACTCAGAGGTGACCCTGCAGTACCCCACAGAAAAGGGAATTCTGCAACAACTGTGATTTCCTTTAATGGTGTTTTTTAGTGTTAGACTTGGAGGTGTGAGTAGAATCCCCTTCAGTCAGCACTCCTCTCCCTGTTGTCCTGAACATCATCCATGTGGGGAACAGGGAGGTGTTCTGGTGGCCCTGGAACCTTTTTATTCTTTATTCCTGGAGGAGAAGACAGAAAAGCAATAATCCCTTGAGGGTGTGCTGTGGGGGAGCCCCTGGAAAGGGGAAGCCACTGCCTGGAATTGTTTGGAATGTTCAGCTGACAGTAAGAGAAATTGGAACCCAGATCAAAGAGAGGAGAGTTAATGAGTGAGCCCCTCACTCACCTGAGCCTCAGTGCAAGATCTCAGCCAGCTTCTCCTCGTAGTACTGGAAATTCTCCTGAATATCCTCCCAGGGCACAAAAGACTTGGCCTCCTCCCCTTCCTCCTGCTCCACAAAGTTCTTCCAGACATACTCAAAGTCTTGAGGCTTCATAATCCTCAGCTTGCAGCCGGCCTCCTTCATGCTCCTGAGGGCGGCCTGCATCTCGGGCTCTTCCCACATGAAGAGCCTGCCCACCATGATGGTGAGGCGCAGCCCCTTGTTCTTGCGCAGGGCCTCGCAGATCCTCTGGGCGCAGGTGACGCAGGGGCTGGAGGACACGTACCAGGTGACGTCGTGGCGGGTGCCCGCCTGGCACGTGGGCAGGATGGTGTTGAAAAAAGCCATCTCGGCGTGGGCGGCCGCGTGCTCGTCCTCCAGGTACCCGCGGCTCGTCACCGGCTCCTTGCCCTGCGTCTCCACCACGTAGCACAGGAAGGTTTTGTTCCTGCCCGAGCTGTATTCCACGTTCCTGAACTGGAATTTGAAGAAGATGGCCGGGAGGCGTTCCCTGGGAACATAGCAGAGAGGAGGCTCAGAGGCAGGTTTAGGTAAGGGTCACGCTCATGAGTCACCCCTGTGTGGGACTGTGGATAAATCACTGCATCTCCCTGGATGTCTCTGTGTTCCAAGGTTTGGTTTATAAAGTATCCGGGATCAAATCTGACCTTGCTGTGAAAATGTGGATGTGCTGGACTCCCTACTGATAAACTCCACCTACTCTTTTAATTTACTGCCCACATCTTCCCTTCTGTGACTCCAAGATCACCTCGAGATGGAACATCTCATGGAATGGCTCTGGAGGTGGGAAGGGAAAGGGATGTAAAAGAGTGGGAAAAATGCACGTGCTTCCAAGAATAACGCTTTTCCTGCTTGGTGTCCTGGATAATGAGCGCTTCTTTGGCTAAGGATTCTTTAATTAATGTTTTTTTGAAGGGCAGACACGAGACACCCGTTCTAGAGCGATGCCTGCAATGAGTGGTTTCACAGTAACATCAGGTTTTTAAATACATCAGAGGCACAGGGAATTTCATCCCTGATTTAACTCTCTGACAGCAAAGGGGTCACAGCAGTGACGAGGTTGGCTCTGGGTTTTCATGGAACAGCTGAAGCAGCAGCAACCTGCTCCAGGATGGATTGACTCAGGCTGGATTGACTGGGAGTTGCATTTAGCCAGCCCTTCCAGATGGATTTTATTGCTTATCCTGGCATGTGCCTGAGCTTAGCTGGGATGTTCACCTCGATTCTGCTCCCAGCCATTTGGAATCTGCATTAGTTCAATTAATAACGTTCCAATGAGAGCCCATTCCAATGCCTGGCACCCCCTTCCATGTAGAAATTCCCTCTGATGTCCTCCCCTGGCACAATTTGAGGCCATTTCCCCTCATCCTGTTGTCTGGGAGAAAAGGCTGATCCCCACCTGGCTCCAGCCTCCTGTCAGGGGCACGTGGAAAGTGAAAATGTTTATGGAAATAATTTAAAAACTATTCATTCAATTCCCCAATATTCTCAACATAAACCCCTGTTCTGACACCAGGCTGGGGTGACACAGCTCACCCTGAGGATAGGAAAGGTGAAAATTGAAACCTTCCCTGAAAAGCATCATTAAAGGGCATTTTTTAGGGATTTCTAAATGCTCCAACCTGACTCATCAGTTTTCCCTGGGCAGCAAAGTGATAGATCATACTGAGACCAAAAAAAATTGCAATTTTGAGGCAGAATCTTCAGTCTGGGATTGAAGTTGCTGAAATCAGGTGGGCTGGAGAAAACATCAGCTACCCAGTGTGACCCTGGCACTGTCACACAGGAGAGAAGGAAAACATGGGGATTATCTAAGAGAGTAACAAAGAATTATTCCTACAAGGAGCCTCATTTACACCTGGGGAAAGTGGAAATAAATGGAAATGTTCCCAGATTGGGATTACAGGCCGTGTTCAGCCAAAAAAATAAAAGGGATAATATTCTTAAAAAGAATAATTGGCTTCCCAATGATTCCTGGAAGCCAGACTCATCCTGGAGCTGTAAGCAGCAGAGGGAAAACTTGGCTGGGAGTCCTGAGATGCTCTTAATCCGAGGGCTAAAACTGAAATGCAACATAATTGGGTTTAAGTGCTTCTTCCCTGGCTGTAGTTGTGTTTCCTCATCACTCCCATAACTGCCTTGATTAGCTGGGAATTTAAAAATGATTGGAAAAATCCACGTGGTGATCCCAGGTCAAGGCCTGGCCTGATCTCCTGCTGTCCTCCTTAAAATGAAAGTAAAAAAAAAAATCCCTGGGCTTTCTGTACCTCTTTGGGGGGCCTTTAGGATTTCTGCTTCACTTCCTCACTCTCCTCTTTGCAGAGTGGAAAATCCTGTCAAATCCTGAAGCAGCTGTGGCATTCCAGTAAATGATTTAATTGCAGGATGGTGCTAAGGGAGTTTTTCAGCCATGGTTAACCCAGGGCCTGGGGCTTAGCAGGGAAGTTTGGACATGCTGCTCAGTCCCTCAGCATTTCTAACTGCAGGCTGAGTGCTCCAAGGCTGGAAAACCTGATTTCCTCATTAAAATTCATTTTAGGACATGTCTTAAGTGTTCAGTACTTGGTCCAGTGGTTTATATCCACAATTTTTGGTGCCTTAGCTCCATTCCTAGCAGAGGGATGTGTTCTTTCCTTACAAGCCACTGCCAATCATTTATTTCTATGATTATGTGTGACAGAGACCACCCCAAGAAGGGATATTCACAGCAGTCACATTTTGAGAAGAAAATGGAGATTTTTCCTCCCCTGGGCAGGAATGGAACCCAATTTTTGAGTCCTGCCTCACTCCTCCTGGTCAGAACAAGCAGCCCAATTTCACCTGCAGAGCCCATGGCACAGGCAGAAGGATTCCAGGGGATACTTTGGAGGCCTGAGCTTTACTTTTAAGTAGCTGAAAGAAATCCTGAGTTTGGTTTATTTGCTGGGACACTCCTTTGGTGACTGGGAAATGTGAGGGGAGAAGGATTCATCCTGCTGCTCCTACAGGGAGTGTTTGTGAGTGCTTGGAGGGAGCAGACACCGAGGGTTTTTCCTACTTGCAGCTGTCAATTATGGCTGAGAGTTCAGCTTCCACCAGATCCCTGTGATATCCTGCTTTTCCAAAGGCCAGGCTCCCTGCTGCCCTGCTGCCTTCAAAACTGCCTCTTGTTTCGGAGCTTTTCTGCAAGTTGGGCTTTTTCGTTTCTTTATGAAAGTCAGGTTCCAGCTGTGGCTGTGGAGCTCTTGAAAATGTGAACCTTTAGGTCTCTTGAAAAATCTGTCCCTCAGGCCCATCAAGCCAATCAGCCATAGCAGGGGTGTTTTTCCTGATCCACAGGTGGAGAAACTCTCAGACAAGAGCCATTGATCACAGCAAGAAATCAATACTGCGCTCTCATCAAAGCCAACACCTCCATCCCCATCCCATCAGTGGGGCTGGAAGGGAACCAGCACTGCAGAAACTGTTCCTATGAAACAAGTGCACTTCTGTGCCTGCCTGCTGGGAGTCCATCCTCTAAAAGTCAGCAAAACTTAAAACAAAACCCCACAATAAATCCAAACCATTTCAGACTCTTCAGAATCTCACCAGCAGAAGATGCTGCTTGTGTTGCCCGACCTAAAAGCTGAGAGAGCTCTCTGAACTCCCCCAATTCCATATTTAAATTCCAGTCTCTTACCCTGTCACAATCTCAAAGGGTGGCAGGTCCTCCCTCTTCACCTTCTTCTTTGTCCCCTCGCCCTCCTCGGCATTGTCGGGTTCCCCGTTCTGGGCATTGCTGGGCTCCTCCTGCTTCTCTGCCATCTTTCCCAGGACACTGGGACCGAGCCGTGGCCACTGGGAGAGAGAAAGAACAATTTCTGAGAGCTCTGGGAGCCGAGGGAGGAGGGAAAACAGAGCTGGGAGTTCCTGCCCCAGGCACAGTTGTCAGGAACTAAATATGGAACAAAGCGGCGGCGGCAGGGGCTGGACAGGGTTGGGTGACCCAGGGCTCTCGGGTGTCACCTCCTTCCCCTGCTCCCTCCAGCTCCTTTCAGCGGTCCCTCTTGCTCCCCTTTTAATTTCAAACCAAGCGACAGCTTCGCAGTGGGCGGGATGAGCCCATAATTTTCCCTGATGGAAAATCCTGGAAGCTCGAGTGGGTATTTATCCCCTGGGGTGACAGGCAGCTGGCACAGGGCACCTCACAGCCTTCTCCCTCCCCTGCCAGTGGATTCCATGGCTGACCTTGAAGGACCAGCTCAGCCTGGCCTGGCTCAGGCAAGAAGGGAAGAAGTCGTGGCCGTTTTGCTGGAAAATCCTTGGGTTTGGTGTGTTTGGCTTCCTGGATCACCTGGAGCATCCCAGCAGGAGACCTGTGGTTCTTCCCACCCTGCTCATGCAGGACTCCGAGGGGGAACTCTCTTCCTTGGAGCTGTAAATCCAAGCCAGAACCTTCTCCCAAATATTTGAAAGTCCAGCTGGAATTCCCAGTGGACAGCAGTGCTGCTTCTCCCATTGTTCTGCATTTTCCTCCCCACTGCTTGAGTGTTCCCTAACTTCCTGGTGCACTGGGATATATCTGGGTTGGAGGGATTTCTCCCTCTCTTTTTTGTTCCCTTTAGGATTACACAAAACTGTCCCAGTGTCTCACTCTTAATTTCAATCATTTACAGTTTGCATCAATCCTGCCTGAGCCGAGTTTAATAAAAACCTGGGTGAGGTTTTCCCAGGGACCAATCCTGGCCATGCCATGGGGCAAAGGAAGTGGAAAAAGCGTGGCTGTGCAGGGTTTTGGAATCAAAGCACACTGGAAATCAAACCTCCAGTACTGTGGGCTCTGCACTTAGCTCAGAAACCACCAGCAGCAAACTTGGAGTAAATATGGAATATTCAGCTGCATTGGATGGAGTACTCAGTCAATATTAGTGGAAAAACCTGCTCTTAGCTTGAGGAGGAGAAGAGGTATTCCATAAAAATCAAATCAGTGGTAATATCTGCTTTGGAGCCAAGTAGGAGGCTGCACCATCACAAAACAAAATAAATCCACACCATCAGGCAGGTAATTTATAATCAGAGAAAATTAATAACAGATTATCACAGATAATGAATTCTGGCTGCTGTTCCCAGCCCCTTTGCTGTCACCCTGCCTTGCTGGATATCCTTTGGAGCTTTTCCCCAGTGCCGCCATGGATGCAGTTTTTGGGGACGGAGCCCCTTTGATGAGTTGTTGTTTAGGTGGTGTTGTTTAGGTGACAGGGCTGGCAGTGGTGACAGCCCAACCAAGGATTTGACAAATTCCAAGACATCCTATCCATGGAACATATATCTTCCACAGTACAGGATTTTATTTATTTTTAAGCTTAGAATACTTTGCTGCTGGGCAGGGGTGGTGTTTTGCCTCCTGTGTGGTGACAACGCTCAAATTCCACCTCCCCTGTCCAATTGCTGTCACCTCTGACATTTCAGGGGCTGTTTTTGGGGTGGGAATCCTCTCCCAATGACTGACAGCTCATTTCCTCCTAATCCTGATGTTTTCAAGAAGCATCTCAGACTCTCTCCAATCCCTCTGACCCACTCTGCTTTATTTTTGGAAGCTCTTCATGGCTGGGGTCCCAATTTTGCTGCAGCTTTAGCCTGGCCCCTCCGAGCACTGAGCTCTAATCTAATCTGGGGAATGTGGCACCGAGGCTCCCCCTCTCTCCAGCCTTTCCCAGCTGCTCCCCAGCTCCTTCTAGGGCAGTGCTTGGAACAGCCATGATCCTCCCCCCACTGCAGCCAAAAATATAAAAGGGCACCACGGAGCTGCTGCGTCGGAGCTGGGGGTGGCTGAGGGCTCTGCTGGCTTTGGTGGCTCTTTGTGACCCCAAATGTGTCCCCAGGGGCTCAGGAGGGGCCTCCCAGCAGCACTCAGGGGACCCCAAATTGTGCACCTGACAGAGTTTGTGCTGAGATTCCTCTCCACCTGTCCCTGCTGTTGGCTCTGAATTTGTTCAGAAAATCTCAGGATCACTGAACTTGGAAAACCTCTCCAGGATCATTGAGTCCAAACTGTGTCCAATCTCCACCCTGAGCCCTGAGTGCCACCTCCAGCTGCCACCTCCAGGGACGGGGACTCCAAACCTCCCTGGCCACTTCCAAGGCCTGGCCGCCCTTTCCATGAGGAAATTCCTGCTGCTGTCCAAGCTGAGCCTCCCCTGGCCCAGCCTGAGGCTGTTTCCTCTCCTCTTGTCCCTGTTCCCTGCGATAACATCCCAAATCCCCCCTGGCTGTCCCCTCCTGGCAGGGACTTGTGCAGAGCCAGGAATTCCCCCTGAGCCTCCTTTTCTCCAGGCTGAGCCTTCCCAGCTCCCTCAGGATTCTCCAAACCCTTCCCAGCTCCCTCAGGATTCTCCAAACCCTTCTGAGCTCCCTCAGGATTCTCCAAACCCTTCCCAGCTCCCTCAGGATTCTCCAAACCCTTCTGAGCTCCCTCAGGATTCTCCAAACCCTTCCCAGCTCCCTCAGGATTCCCCAAACCCTTCTGAGCTCCCCCAGGATTCTCCAAACCCTTCCCAGCTCCCTCAGGCCTCACAGAGATCCCTGCCCAGGGGATCACAGCTCAGCACAGGGGACACACAGGGCAGGGCTAAGGGACAGCCTGCACTGGGAGAAGCTTCCAGGCTTTGCTGGAGTTTTGGATATTGAAGCTCCTGCATCCATCTGAGTCCAGAGCAGCTTCTTCAGTGGCCTTTGAGGCACCTCTGAACACTCTGATGACTTTACCTCCAAACAGGGATCTCTGCTGGATGCCTGTGTCCCTTGCAGGTCGTTTTCTGTCCCTCTCCTTGCAGCAGGAATTCCTGGAGTTAACCTGGCTGTTCCCTTTCCCCATCACCCACACCTGCCTGCCACAGGCCGTGCCAGGAAAAGGGAGCTTTTATGGCATTGTGGGGCCAGAGGAACATTTTGGGATAGATGTGAGAGTGAAATAAGAGCCTGGCCGGGTGAGTCATGGCTCAGCCGTGCTCTCCATGCCGAGGGGACAGCTGGTGGCACTAACAAACGTCTCCCTAGAGACACTGGCAGCCAGCCCCCTCCTGCTTTTTCCAGCTGTAACTACAGAACAAATAAATAAACACCGACAGCTTCCCTTCCTCCCTTTGGAGTCCTCACCTGTCCCTCTCCTCCTGCCTCAGCACCAAAAAGGTTTCAAGGAGGGCTGGAAACCCTCCTGTCCCACAGGATTGACGTGGGCAGTGCCCAAATCCTGGTGAAAGATGCTCCAGCTGTGCTGAGCCCCAGGTGAGGGATGTTCTCACCTCTGTACCTGCCTCACCTTCCCACCCAAACCCTCCCTGGCTCTCAATTCCCAGCCTGGCACAGGAGGAGCCTTGGCAGGCGCTGCTGCCTCCCCAATTAATTCCAAGCCCAACTGGGAGTTAATGACAGCTCCCAGCACAGCAATTTCTGTCCTGCAGCACCCAGAGCTGGGGCAGGGCCTGGCAGAGCGGCTGTGTCACCTGCAGAGGTGACAATCCCACCCCCAGTGGGTGCCTGAACACAGCTCCAGGCAGCAGCAAACGTGGGAAAACTGTCCTGCTGCAGCCAGAGTGCTGGGACAGCTGTGAAATGTGGGAGGGGGGAAAGGAGAAAGGAAAGGAAAGGAAAGGAAAGGAAAGGAAAGGAAAGGAAAGGAAAGGAAAGGAAAGGAAAGGAAAGGAAAGGAAAGGAAAGGAGAAATGAAAAAGGAAAGGAGAAAGGAAAGGGAAGGAAAAAGGAAAGGAAGAGGAAAGGAAGAAGAAAGGAAAGGTTTGGTTATGCACAAATCCTGAGGCTGCAGCAGCCAGAG